GGTTGTCAACTCATTGAGCATTGACTGAAAATCACCAATATCTACAGATATTTCCTCAATATACCTCCAACTACATGTTTTAAATTTAATTATTTAGTGGGTGAAGTTGGGCTTGAAATTCCAATAGTATGAAGTTTACTTTTCTTTAAATAAGACTATGCCTCCCTAATCTACAGGAAGCAATCTAATTGAAAGTACAAACACATAACAATTGTTTGTTCCCTCTCAATTCCCTCCAGACTCTTCCCAAAGGCATTCCTATCTAAGCATGCTTTATGGGCTTACATGGTACTGAAGATATACACTGGCCAAACAACGTACAACCATGTGTGTATTCAAGACATATATCTAAAAGCCATTTTCTTTTGTGTTAGTCTGTTTTGTGTTGCTATAAAGGAATACCTGGGACTGGGGAATTTATAAAGAAGAAAGGCTTATTTGGCTCATGGTTCTGCAGACTGTACAAGAAGCATCACACCAGCATCTGCTTCTGGTGAAGGCTTCAAAGAGCTTCCAATCAACAGGGAAGTTGAAGAGGGAGCAGGTGTGTCACCTGGCAAGAGAGGAAGGAGGTGGTGCCAGGCTCCTTTAAACAATCAGCTCTCACATGAATTAACAAAGTGAGAACTCACTCATTATTGCCAGGAGGGCACCAAGCCATTCATGAGGGATCTGCCCCCATGACCCAAACATGCCCTGTCCCACCAGGCCCCACCTCCAACACTGGGGATTAAATTTCAACTTGAGCTTTTGAGGAGACAAATACCCAAACTGCATCTTCTTTCATAGTTTCTATTAAATCTTATCTGATGAAGAGATGGAAAATGTTTTATTTGTAGGAAACTATAAAATCATTTGGATTCCTGGATCATCAAAATTATCATTATAAGGACAAAACACATATATGAATAATGAAAAAAACTAGTTAATATTTACTAATATCTTACAACATGACTAAGGGTAATAAGAATGTGATGTGTATTATTGCATTTATTTAAAAAATCAATAGCATTTGTGGATTTTTATGTGCAATTTCATTATACACAAATGGCATAATTAATCAAGATGTATATTCATTTGGAATTTTACTGCATACAAAATTGACTCCTACAGGACATGGGGCTAATATGTGGTATGGACCTAGATGGTGACTCAGCCTCCATGTTTCAGTGGGAGTTAGTTGATTTCAAGTTGTCATGTAGTACACAGTAATTTTTTATTACTGCTTTTTGTGAAAATAGTCTAAAAAGAAAGTCAAATGCTTTTATTGCATCTGATATAATAAATTTCACACTAGAGTGCTGTTCAGCAATTTGGGAATTTGTGAGGGTCTAGGGGCCTGCTTACTATGTCTCAGATTGTTACTGAGAGAAATCTGAGTCCATTATGACAAATAAAATACCATTTTGTTGGAAAATTTAAAGAATTAAAGCCCTCTCCTATAACATAAATTGCTATAAACACATAGCTAAAATGAATCTAAAGCCTTTCCTCCAAGGTTTAAGCTTAAGGAAACCAGCACAAACAGTTCTGGAGAACTTGGTTCTCTCTTTCCTGCAGCAACAATACGTAAATGTCAAGGCATATAACACAAGGGCATTTGTGTTGCATAGTTCCTGCTGCACAATGTGGGTATTTTTCTCATCAATCTCTTCCTAGAGATTAAATGAACACATATATAGTATTTATGATAAAACTAATGAGATCATCTCCTTCTTGGCTGTAGATTATTTTTCTTTTCATTTAAGAGTTTATCTAATAATTTAATATCATAACTATGCTTCCCCTTTGCCTTCCCAACTCAGATGTACAGATTCCCTTCCAAATTTATTTTTGAACTACAATTTAGTAAATACTGCACAGCTAAAATAAGATGAACTTTTCTCTTTACTCATTCAGCTGCATGTTCCAAAACCAAATGCTCATTTAGAATTATGATTAACAGTTGTGATTCATAAAGAAGTCAGTTGGTCCTCTGCCTTTTTCAACCTAAATATATTACTGTATTACCTCACTTTCAAATTTCAGCTCCAGAATATATCTGATGGACAGGTAAAGCAGACTTGGCTGTAATCATGTGGTATACCCATGTCTAACCCGTTTCTTTACTTTTCTTTCTTTCTTTCTTTTTTTTAACCATGTGAATGTGTATTAATAGATGTAGTATCAGTGACTTTCCCCAAATCTCTGGGACAATCCACAGAAAACAGAAATGGCTACTATGGAATTTATAAGGTTAAACAGAGGAGGACATCCTGTCTCCTCTGCCTAGAAGAATCTCAAGTTTGTGGTAAGACTCTGCCTGAATAGGCATTCTGCATAGAACTTTTTGTTAATTTATTCATAAGCCTATAAGGAAAATGATCAGGCAAAATGATATCAGGGTCTTGATAATTGTGTCCTATTCCGGATAAACCACTAATTCGCTATTTTGTAGATATGACCAAAGGGTTTTCTAATGTAAATATTCTCCATAGCTAATACAAAGAAACTTGTTTTGTTTTAACCCATTACATACTGGTGAGGATTTTGAGTATTTGGCATATATGCACTGTTAGAAAAAGATTTAAGTGTCTTATTTTAACCTGCATTTTTAAAGGCATTGTTTTTGCTTACAAAATATATCCACAATCATCATAGAACATTTAGAAATGCAAAAACATATATATAAAGAAGTAGAAATCATCCAGATTCTTTCTAACCAATTACATAATCAGTCCCTATCTATTACATACAACATTTTAGTTACTGGTAGGTTGAACAAGATTCATGTAATGGAGTGGTCCCCAGCCTTTTTTGCACCAGGGACTGGCATCATGGAAGACAATTCTCCCACAGACAGGGGGGGCTCTGGGGGGCGGGGGTGATGGTTTGGAGATGATTCAAGCACGTTACATTTATTGTGCAGTCAAACCTCTCTGCTAATGACAATCTGTATTTGCACCTGCTCCACAGAGCTAATATCACTGCCTCAAGTCCACCTCAGATCAGCAGGCACCAGATTCTTATAGGGAGCACCTAGATCCCTCCCTTGTACAGTTCACAGTAGGGTTCACACTCCCAGGAGAATCTGATGCCACTGCTAATCTGACAGGAGGCGGAGCTTATGCAGTGATGCGAGTGATGGGCAGTGGCCATAAATATAGATGAAGCTTGGCTTGCTCTTGTCGGGCTGCTCACCTCCTGCTGTGAGGCCCAGTTCATAACAGGCCACTGACTGCTACTGGTCTGTGGCTGAGAAGTTGGAGACCACAGATATTATGATCAAAATCTACCCTTGATTTAACATTTCATCTTCTTGCCCCTCCATCAGCTCAGGTCTGCTGTTGGGGAAGGAGTGTGATCTGTTTTATTTCCTTCCCCATGTACTATAACTATACTCTTTGCTCTCTGGAGAGGGCTTAGAAATTAGAGGTTCAGGCAATAGGATTTTTTCTGACTTTATCCTGCCTGTCCTATAGGAGCCTCTGGGGCTCACAGATGTTTAAAGCTGCCTTTTTACCTTACTAAGTGAGTTAAGTGAAAAAGTACCTACTGCAGTTTCCTTGATCTGGACAAATGCAACTAATCTAATCTAATCTAATCTAATCTAATCTAATCTAATCTAATCTAATCTGGCTAGTCACTGTTTCATGCATCACCACTCCAAGAGGCAAGTTCCTGCAGGAGTGAAGGCAGACCACATTGGCTCGCTATAACATGTGCCCATGTCTGGTCCAAGGGAAGCACACATATATTTTTCTGCTCCCAACTATGGGGATGCAGACCAATTTCAACATAGAAGATCTTTTTGAGTCATTTATTAGATGCACAGCAAACTCAACTCTTGTTCTGAGGTTTCTCAGGTAAAATCAGACACCAGTCTATCATGCCCTCCACATTGCAGGGGACATACACATTAAGCCCCCTGTGTGGTTCCACTGAAGCACCAGGCACCAGGGACCAGGCATACAGTAGAACTTACTATAGGTGTCTCCAACATTCTTCTTCACAAAATTTTCTCCTACTAATCTTCAAACCTTTTATGCCCCAGATATGAGTGAGGGTTTTAACAATATTTCCAGTTAGTTCATTTGAAGCATTGATGTTTGGAAGCTCACTTTGAAATGTCCACTCTTTTATCTTAGAATCTCAGTTAAAAATTCCATTTTAAAATATTAATCTTCTATCTACTGATCTATGCTAGCTACACACATACCCACACACAGAGACATGCATATAAAAGAGACATGCAGCATCTGAGTCTTTTACATGCATGTCTCTGGATAGGGAGAAATCTAACATATATTCAGAACCAGGGAGTTCTGGTGACGTAAGTACACTAACCTTTAAAAAAAATAGAAAAGAAAAAAAATGAAGAAAGAATGACCAGTAGTGGCTATCTATTGCTGTGGTCCATTATCAGAAACTTAGATTGGGCTGCTTTAATTATGTAAATACATCTAGTGGATGAGAGTTAATAAACTTCTATTTAATTAAAATAAACAAAAAATCTGCTTCTCCTTAGCACATTATATTTTAATTAAATTCCTGAGCACAGTCAGTAACTCTGAAGTTATACAGTTGACAAAATCAATCACTAAGGAACATAAATCTAACATAAAGCACACGATAATTTTTTGATAATAGAAGTTTCACACATGAATTAAGGACAAATATGGTTTTTGCTTTTAGCACTCCAGATATGTACTATTAGAAGTGCATGCCAATTGTATCAAGTTCCCGCAAACTTACCAACACCAGGCTTAATGTATTTCCCATATAAAGGAATAAGGACATCAATTTTTTTATCTCTTTGTGTCTCACCCCCACCATCTCTCTCTCTGCTCCCCCCATGTGTGTGTGTGTGTGTGTGTGTGTGTGTGTGTGTCTCTTTCTCTCTGTCACACACACACACACACACAGACACACACACTGACACTCACAAAGGCCCATAACTCCAAAGAAACAAAGCAAAATATTAACCCAACCACCAAATAAATAACAGCCATTGGACCAACCTTATAAAGCAGTGGCAGTTTTCCTAATTTCAGGAGTGCAATCTGATTTGTTATATTTTTCATTTTTTTAATCCTTTTTAAATCATCTGCAGTTCCATAACTCACATCAATGACTTCAGCCTGAAAGAGAAGAAAAGACAAAGAAAAATAAAGCCTTGGAGGAAGAATTATAGCCAATTTCCATTTAGTATGACAGAAATATTCACAGTTATTGGAAATGGTCGAAAGAGAACTAATTCTATCTCTTAATCTGTCCCAGTTACCTTAAACATGATCTTTTTTATTTCTATCAAGGTACAATTGCTCTGGTCACTTGGGAAAATATGTGAGCCATTTTTGCTTTATCTCTCTCTTCTAAACAAATTACAAACTCAGTTCATTCTTCCAACAGACCATCACATTTGGAATATTCTACATTCTTGTTTCTGGAATTTGAGCCATTTTACAAAACACTGCAAGATAAATTTGCATAAGGTTCAAAAGCAATCATATTATTCTAAGGCTTGGAAAAAATTCAAAGAATTCTATTGTTATCCAAATTAAGTGAAATATCCTCTACTTACACAGTCATCGCACAGCTGCTCAGATCGTGCATGTAGCCAGTTGTGAGTGACAACCCCTTGAGTTGTGCAGGATTCAACCTGTACAACTACATGTGCCAGCCCAGCATTCTAGGACTTTAGAACATAGTCCCAAATTACCATTTCTGTCACAGTTCCCACTACCCCCTACAGTTATCTTATATTCTACATCAATATTATTCATTTTTAAAAGTCTCCTTTTGTTAATGTAAAAATTTCATGCCTTCCTGGAGATTCTAATAGGAATCCTCTGTTGTAGTTATCCCCTTCGTTCTCCTTGAAAAATACTGAACTGCAGGTTCATAGATTCCTATGAGCCTAGATATTTCCCTTTAGCTTTACTTTCTACAATTTCTATTATTAAAATAATAGTTGTTATGCTTTCCAATGATTATGTTATAATAAAAAACATGCTTTTTCAAACTGTAGCATATATCCTCAGAGATGTTGATAAAAAAGAGCTAGTGGTGGCGGATAGTGAAAAAAATGAAGATGGAGAATCCAGACCTCTAACGTTCGCCCTCCTCAGTTGGAACTAATGCACTGCAACCAGTTTTATACATAGGACTTCCACAGAAAACTCATTTGAAGAAAGAATTCTGTTTCTAGAAGAACATGGAAATACTACTGAGAGATCTGTAAATCTGCTAGGGAAAATATTACTGGCATAAAATATTTCTTCAGCCATCACTACCATCTGCATCTGTGAAATATCTACTAATACTTTAAGGTCTGTTTCAAATGTGACCTACTTGATGAACTGTATTTCTCTGTTGCCCAAATATATATGATTTCTCTCTACTTCAAATCCAAGAGTAACCTGTCTCTGAGTGTCTTAAGGCCCTCACTAGACCTGTCTCTTTATAAATATATTTATCTAACAGTTTCAGTTTCCAGTATAAGGCAATTCCTTGGTGAAGGGGCCATCATGCACCTATTATTGTCACCCAGGTGTCTGGTATATGCTCTTGGCTCACTGAATTGAAATGATTATAGCTTGTACAATGTCTCTGAAAAGTTAATCTGTACTTTCAAGTGGATTTGCCCAGAAAACTTAATTGTTAAAAACACTTCTCATAAAAAATGTTTTTTTATTATAATTGTCTTCCTATTAAAATGTTATTAAATCAGTGCCTTTAACACAATTTTTAAATTTGATGATACCATTACCATATAAATAATTGTTGATCTATGATTTTAAAAGCCTGATTAAATAAATGGTCACATAATATTAATGATTTTATTGGAAAAGGGAAGGAATTCATATTTTTCATTTCAAGTTTCTAAGCTACCTACTAATTATTTGTGATTCAGTATATTATTGAACATACTTTTCATATATAGTGAAGGGTGAGGAAGAACCTTACTGGTTTGAGAGGATATAGGCCAGATGCATACCTCAGACATATTGCAGGTTTAGTTCCAGACAACTGCCATAAAGTGAATAATTTGGTTTCCTAGTATATATAAAATTAATGTTTACATTATATTGTAGTCCATAAAGTGTACAATAACATTATGTCTAAACCAAAATGTGCACACTATAATTTTAAAATACTTTATTGCTAAAAATGCCAATGATCATCTAAGCCTTCAGCAAGGCCTATTCTTTTTGCTGGTGGAGGGTCTTACCTAGATGCTGATGCAGCTAACTGATTAGGGTAGTAGTTGCTGAAGGTTGGGGTGGCTGTGGTGATTTCTTAAAATAAGACAACATTGCATTTGCCATATTGATTGACTTTTCCTTTCATGAAAGATTTCTCTGCATCATGCAATGCTGTTTAATAGCATTTTGCCCACAATAGAACATTTTTTCAAAATTGGAGTCAATCCTCTCAAACATTGCTGCTGCTTTAATCAAGCAAATTTATGGAATATTTTAAATCCTTTGTTGTCATTTCAACAATGTTCATAGCATCTGCACCAGGAATAGATCTCATTTCAAGAAACCACTTTGCTCCTGCGTAAGAAGCAACTCCTGTTCGAGTTTGATCGTGAGATTGCAACAACACATTCACATCTTCAGGCTGCACCTCTAATGCTAATACTCTTGTTAGCTCCACCACATCTGCACTTACTTCTTCCATTGAAGTCTTAAAACCCGCAAAGCCATTCATGAGGGTTGGAATCAACTTCTTCCAAACTCCTATTCATGTTGCTATTGTGATCTCCTCTTTTGAATCCTGAATGTTCTTAATGACATCCAGAATGGTGAATCCTTTCCAGAGTGTTTTCGATTACTTGGCCCAGATCCATCAGAGGAATCACACTATATGTCAGCTATAATCCTATGAATGTATTTTTAAATAATAAAACTTGAAAGTTGAAATTGCTCCCTGATCCACAGGCTACAGTCATGAAAACAACATTAATCTCCTTGTATATTTCCATGAGAGCTCTTGGGTGACCAGGTGCTTTGTCAATAAGCACTAATATTATGAAAGGAACCTTTTTTTCCTGAGCAGTACGTCTCAACAATGAGCTTAAAATACTAAGTAAATCATGTTGTAAATGGATGTGGTGTCATCCTGGCTTTGTTTTTCTATTTATAAAGTACAGGAAGAATAGATTAGCATAATTCTTAAAGGATCCTAGGATTTTGGAATGGTAAATGAACATTGGTTTCAACTTAAAGTAACCTAAGGGGCATTAACTCCTAATAAGAGAGTCAGTCTGTCCTTTGAAGCCAAGTATTGATTTCTCCTCTCTAGCTATGGAAGGCATAGATGGCATCTTCTTCCAATATAAAGCTGTTTTGCCTACACTAGAAATCTTAATATGTTGTTTAGTGTAGCTACCTTCATCAATTATCTTAGCTAGATATTCAGGATAACTTGCTGCTGCTTCTGCATCAGCATTTGCTGCTTCATCTTGCAGTTTTATGATATGGAGACAACTTTTTTTCCGTAAACCTCATGAACCAACCTCTGCTAGCTGGAAACTTATTCTGTAGCTTCCGCACCTCTTTCAACCTTCACAGAATTGAAGAGACCTAGGGTCTTCCTCTGTATTAGGCTTGGGCTTGAGGGAAATTTTTTGGCTAACTTGATCTTCTATCCAGACCACTAAAATTTTCTCCATATCAGAAATAACACTGTTTCAGTTTCTTATCATTCATGTATTCACTGGAGTAGCACTTTTAATTGCCTTCAAGAACTTTTCCTTTGCATTCACAACTTGGCTAACTGTTTTGGCCCAAGAGGCCTAGCTTTCAGCTCATCATGGCTTTTATCATGCCTTCCTCACTAAGCTCAATCATTTCTACCTTTTGATTTAAAGTGAGAAAAGTGTGACTCTTAATTTTACTTGATCACTTAGAGGTCATGGTAAGGTCACTGGCCCTATTTCAATATTGCTGTGTCTCAGGGAGTATGGAAGCCCAGGAGAGGAAGAGATGGGGGTAAATGGCTGGAGTAGCTGTCAGAACATACACAATATTTATCAATAAGTTTACTGTCTTATATAAGTGCATGTCATGGCACCCCAAGACAATTACAATGGTAACATCAAAGATCACTGATCACAGATCACCATAACAGATTTAATAATGAAAAAGTTTGAATTATTGTGAGAATTACCAAACTGTGACAAGGAGACATGAAGTGAACACCTGCTGTTGGAACAATGGCACCAACAGACGTGATAGACATAGGGTTGCCACAAAGCTTCAATTTGTGAGAAACGCAGTACCTGCAAAGCACTGTAAAGTGAAGCACAAAAATCCACATATGCCTGCATACAAGAAAGGTATGGCAGTTACAAAAATACCAATTCTGTAAAAGACATTTACATTATTGTAACATATCAATAGCTTGAATCAATAATGGCAATTTTAATTAAAGAGCTTTTCAATTTATCTTCTATATATACCACATGTCAATAGATTGAAGTATTTTAGCATGTAAGTGTTTTTTTTTTTTTACTTATCTCACAAAAATATTTCTCAACACAGGCATCATTATATCAATGTATTTTGGCTTATGCACTTTTAGGGTATGCTCTAAAAATCAATAAATACAGAAGTCTCAGTGTTCTGACGGTTTAACAGGCAATAATAAAAATGTATCCATTGCCTTCAAAAGAAGATTCTAAACCAGGACCTCTTTAAAAGTCTTTCTTATTTACCTTTAAGCAAACTGAAAATCACAGCTGCAAGAAAGCACATTGAATTTTTCTGAGGCACAAATCAATATACTAAATAATGATATGATAAAATGCCAAGCCATTTCTCTTCACATATTTTTGTTGCTACAGTGAACCTCTTCTTATTTCATTTATTCTCTCACACTAGAAAATCATCTACTCAACCACTTGGGGTACTATGTTTAATTTATGTTCAAATGCCAGGGATTAAGTCACATCTTACTGGTCTCTATGGGAAATGTCAAATGTCAAATGAGGACGCTGGGTACTTGTTGAACTATTCACTCTGTGTGTACCACAGTTTTTCCAATGTGGACTTCTTTGACACATAAGAGTTACTGAAAGGTGCAGAGTGAAATGGAATTTAATTGTTCCTTCTTGTTTTAAAATTTTTTA